AAATGTTCCTCTTCCAAAATGCAACGCAAAAGACGAGCTTTCATATTTCCGCATTAATGTCCGCGAATTCAACAAGAAAATCGTCCGAGCCGAGCACGAGAGAGTTGAAAATGGTCTGAAGAGGAACCTGAATATTCTTAGGGAGAATATGAGGTATCCACAGATACAATTAGTCACCAACAAGATAGTATTATAAATAAAGATATATTTTACCATATAATTTTTACTAGATATAATACTATATTATTAATATATGGTATACTATCTTATGATATTAAATTATATACTATAATATACTATATTTTATGCTATATTATTAACTATCACAAAAGGTATTATAAGAACTTAAAAAAACAAGAAGATATGCAACAGAATGAATCCCCTTTCATGCTCTTTCTGAACGCAATTCCAATATGCACGCGAGTGATGCTGATATCAACACTCTCGTTTTCTATAGCAACAAGCTTTTACCCTTCGATTGGGTATTTGTCGTATTTTGATGAAGAAGAAATAACAGAGAGGTTCCAGGTCTGGCGACTTTTCACGCCATTTTTTGTCATGCGGATGGGGTTCCCATTTATTATGCACCTCCTCATGCTTTACAAGTTTTCTGCGGAACTTGAGGAGTCATACTTCAATAACACAAAAGACTATGTCTTATACCTTCTCTTTATTTTAGGGCTAATCGACACGTTCTCTGTTTTATATGTTCCCCTCCACCAACAGTTTATTACATGCATTGTGTACACCTGCTGTAGAGCTGATCCAGAGAGTGTCATGTCGTTCTTGTTTGGTATCACACTGAAGAGAAAGTATGTACCATGGGCACTCATTCTATTGAATGTACTTATGGGCTCCCAACTGTTACCTTCCTTTGTGCTGATTGCTATCGCCCATTGCTATTACTTTGTAAGACATGTCATTCCAGTCCATTACCCACAGATCCCACGACTTATTTGATTCCATTTTATTATTCATGTTGTCGGTAAGCGACCAAATAAATAGTAAACCAGAATAAATGAACAATAACTTGTTATAATATTCACTTTTCCATGAAGTTGTTGAAGAACGCGAAGTGTGTTTTTGACTCGATGTTCCACGACTCGAAGTCAAAGCAGCAATAGTCGCCGTTTTCAGAAACGTTAGAAGTAAAGCCGTTGTCGTTCACCTTTCTGAACCATTTCTGGTACCCTTTGTGAAAGACCCACTTCTTTTGACGTAGTCGTTCCGCGGCTTGTGCTTGTAATGGTGTTCCTTGTGTGTAATAAAACAAAAACATCAGAAATTCGTCGTCGATTTTGTTTGACGTGAAACTGAATTCCGACGCCTGAGTGGGGAACCATTTGGGGAGTTGTGATTTCGCGGGCGTATGCTTTTGAATTGTTGGGCTTTGACTCATCATGTTTGTGTATGAGAATTCGATGTCTTGGAGAGTCTTCAAAGTCTTTTCGTCGACTTGTCCTTTCTCTTCTTTCTTCTCTTCGACGGTATCGACTTGCTCGTTTGAACTTTTCTTTTGTAGTTTCGTGCTGTCTTGCGCTTTCCCCTTGACATTAGTCTTTGGTGTTTTTGGTGTTTCTTGTGGTGTTGGTGACTTCGTGACTTTCCGTTCGACTTTGACTGCTGGCGATTGTTGCTTTGGCGACAGTTTCTGTTGAATGACTGGACTTGTTTGTTGTTGCACCTCGCTTTGTTGTTTAAGTCGTTGTTGTTCTTCGAGTTCCTTCTCCTTCAACTCTTCCTTTGCAAGTTCCTCTTCTTCCTCCTTCCTCTTCCGCTCGGCATTTTCAATCTGTTCTTGCTTTTCTTCCTCAATTTGCATAGTAAGACTGTGGAAGTCAAATCCGTTATATATATGAAGACTATCTTCAAGATTTGTTCCCGTTTGTTCCAAGTACATATCAACATCGTCTTGGAGTTCTGATAACTTCATTGTCATTTCCATTGAACGATACAATTAAATAACACAACAAACGTCTTCTTCCGTTAAAAACCCGTATTTGAATGCTTCGTTGATTGTCTTAAGTTTTTCAATATGTTTAGAATTCAGTTCTATCCGTTTCTGTAACTGATTCTTCTTCTGTTGGGACTGCTTTTTCTTTTTGACCGGTTCTTTCTCTTTTTTAAGCTCTTCTATCTGTTCTTCTAACCGCTCGATAGCTTCATCAACCCACGTCGTTTCCACTTCTTCGTCCTCCGTCTCTTCACTTTCGCTCACGCGCGCCAACCCTTCAATGGAATAGGGTTTGATCTTACTCTCACGCTCGATTTCTTTGAACGCCTCCATTCGAATTTCAATGTCACGCTTTGCCTCTTCGAGTGTCCGCTTATTCTTTATTTCAGTCTGAAGCCATCCCTTGATCTGCTCGCGGTACTTTTGAAGCCGTTTTAATGACCGCTTCAGCTCCGCCTCAACCTTCTCCTTTTGATGTCCTGCTGGAGTCTCGTCCAACTTCTGCCGGATCTCCTCAAACTCCGTAAACCCTGCATTCATCAATTTGAGCGTTTTCTCGATGTCGCTCTGTACCTTCCGACTCGTCGACATTCTTTGAAATTTTTAGTTTGTTGTTCTTCATTTGTTATTCATTTACAAAAACCTCTAACTTTTGGGATGGTTTGAAGGGTTTTTCTTTTTTTAAGCTTTATGAAAGTCTTTTCTGTATCGATTTCGGGTTTTTGTGCTAATTGTGTGCTGTGTTGCCAGCTCAAATAATAATTTTTTTTGTGGTTCAAGAAATAATGAATGAAGGCGTCTTGTTGCCGTTTTTGAAGATGGGGCGGAAAAAAACTAAAAGTAGTAGTAAAAATACCATTGTTTAATAGTACAAAGATTAACAATCAACTTATGAAACAAAACTGTTTATAATAACTTTAATACATGTAAATAAGGGTGGTTCTTAAACTATATTTTAATTGTCTTACTATGAATCAATCATGCCTATTGACTCTTTCAAGTTGGTCGTTATGGTGTTGTTTATTGTTTGACTTTTATATAATAAAAAGACACATACCAAGTGATTAAGCCTATTTGCGGTCATAAAAATTAAAAGAAAAACTTGATTGTATATTTTAAAATCAATTGTCCAATAGCCATACGTCTTGAACAATACAAATAATCTATTATTATATATTGTCATTCATATCGATGCACAAGCTCTTCAAAAAATTAGTCTCAAATTTTCAGTTCAAGTGCAATAAATAGTTTTATTGTTAAATGTTGTAATAATTTTTTTTTTCAATTTTATTTTTAATAATTTAAATTAAAGTGGTAATAAAATATTATTTATATAATATATTAAATTATTATATTAAATTATTATATTATATGATTAATAGGATATATGTTTTAAATAAATATAAAAATAGTTAAGTTGTAATTAGATATAATCAGTTGTATTGCAATTTTGATAAAAATATACCATTTAAGAGTAATTGTTTAATTAAATATGACATAAAAGAAAAAAATGTTAAAATATTAGTACAAAACTTAACTAAACTACCACTTTTCTAATATTTTTCATATTTATAATTTATATTATTTCACATATAGTTTAATTAAATAGTCGGGATTTTCATATAAAATATCAAAAAAAAAACTAAAATGGCGTTTTTAACATTTACTTACTATTTTTAATTTAGTTTTTTCTAAAAGAGATAAATAACTTGCCATTCTTATTTTTATAATCGTTCACCAATATCATTCAATCGCAATTTTTAGAATTAAAAATAATGAAATTGTAATTTTTATAATATAAATATAATTAAAATAACTAAAATGTATAAATCGAATGTAATATTTATTTTAATATAAAAAAATCAATTTCTTTATATATTTCGCAAATTTTGGAAAACCTCAAACCCATAACCGAGCTATATAAGCAAGAATTAAATCTTTAAAAGCACATCCGATGAACAAATTTACTGAGGTTTCACGAGACAAGTTGCCCGACTACCATGTCGAGGCAATTGTTTACCAACATAATAAGACTGGAGCCACAGTTGTTAAAATGTTATCGAAAGATCCGAACAAAGTATTTTCAATAGCTTTCCGGACTCCAGTGACCAACAACAAGGGGATAGCTCATATTCTTGAACACTCGACATTGTGTGGGAGTGATGCGTTCACAACCAAAGAACCTTTTGCTGACTTGAACAAGGGCAGTCTCAAAAATTTCTTAAATGCATTTACCATGCCAGATTCTACTATGTATCCCATCGCCTCAACTAACGACAAAGACTACCAAAACTTAATGAAAGTGTATTTGGACGCAGTCTTCTTCCCTCGAGTTCGAAAGGATATCTTCCCGTTCTATCAAGAAGGGTGGAGATGGGAAAAGAACGAACAAGGGGAGTTGACTGTGAACGGTGTTGTCTACAATGAAATGAAAAATTCAGAGACAAGTCCAACGAGCATCTCAGAGAGAAAGATAAGAAAGACGATGTTTGAGGGAACATACAGTCACGAATCCGGTGGAATCTCTAATGCAATCGAAACATTGAAATATGAGGAGCTCCAAGAATTCCATAAAATGCATTATAATCCAACGAACTCAATCACTGTGTTGTACTCTCCAATGTCTTTACTTAAAAATGAAATGGAGATATTGGATGGGTACTTCGACCAATTCGAGAAAACAGAACCGTCACATGTTATTGATGAAAGCACTGGTGTTAAAGGGCAAACAATAGAAGTGGAGTATCCAATTAACCAAGAAGACCCCGAAGAAGGAAAGGACGTGTTTATGTATGCTTGGAGAATTAAAGACATGACAGAAGAGACTAAATTTGGGTTGGGTGTTGTGGGGAGACTTTTGGTGATGACTGAAGGAAGTCCGTTGAGTGAAAAAATTAAGGCCCTTGGAATTGGAAAGAAAGTGTCTTATAGTTTCGACACAGACTATAAAAGTCCGTTGTTCATCATCGTTGTCACAGACGCTGTTTCCGACAAGTTTGAAGAGTTCAAAACAGTTGTGCGAAGTGAATTAGAAAAAATTGTCAACGTTGGGTTTGATGTCACCCGAGCAACTTCCGTTTTGAATGTCGAGGAATTTGATTTGAAGGAGTGTGCGTTCAGCAACTACCCCAAAGGAATCATTTTTGCGTTAGAAGCGACCATTGGGTTTGTCCATGAGTTGAAAGATATCTTTACTGAATTCCGTGTGTCTGGTACGCTGAAGAAAGCACGACAGAACTTACACAACAAATTCTTTGAGCAGTTCATTCAGACGTATTTATTGGACAATGACGACTTTGTAGTATCGAAGTGTGCGCCCAATAAATTGCTTTTGAAACAAATGGAGGAAGAAGAAAAAGAACGACACAAAGTTATGAGCAGTACATTTACCGAAGAGAAAATGACTGAAATTGTGAACATCTCTGAAGAGCTCAAAAGACAGCAACAGGCTGAAGATACTCCGGAACAAGTCGCAACAATTCCACAACTCCATTTGAGCGACATTTCAAGAGAGGGTACTGATATTACACTCGAGAAAGTTGACAACTCCGTTGTGACATACAGAAAGTTGAATTCGACAAATGGGATTTTGTACTTCGACTACGCCTTTAACATCAACGACTTCACCCTCGAAGAGGTCTGTGCCGCAAACTTCTTGGCGTATATGATGAAAGCATTTAACACCGAGAAACACACGTTCAAAATGTTGAACGCACTCGTTGATATCAACTTCGGAGCTTTGATTTTTTCCGTCTCGACGTGTTCAAACAGAAGAATTGGCGCACCGTTTTCAGAGACTTCAAAAGCAAATCCGGTCTTCAGCGTGAGTGGGAAGATGTTATACAATTTTATTGAAGATGGCGTGAAGGTGATCGGAGAGATTTTGAACGAAATTAAATTCGAGAAGGACGTTTTAAAGAAGAAACTCGATGAGAACATAGCGACACTTGAATCCACAATGAAATCGACGCCATTTATGGTGATGGTGTGTCGTATGGAATCGTATCTTACCTCTTCTGGTGTGTTAACTGACGAAATGCGTGGGGTAAACAACTATAGACGACTCGTCAAAATCAGAGACAACTTTGACACTGAAGGCGAAGCCTTTTTGAATGAACTGGAGAGCGTGTATAAAAAGATCTTCTGTCCGTCACGCGCAACACTCTATTATTCGTGCGACGAAGAAGAGAAAGACACGGTTTTGAATCAAATAAATGAACTCAACGCGTTCATGAGAGGCACGCCTCATGGGACAGAAATTGTTTACCCGGCACCAGTCGCAAGAAATGAAGCGTTGGTTGTCCCTTCAAAAGTGAATTTTGTTGGGAAAGGATTCAACTTCATCCAAATGGGTGTCGAATACAATGCCGCCTTGAGAGTGCTTATGGAAATAGTCGAGAAAGGGTATATGTGGGATAAGGTGCGAGTGAAAATGGAGCGTATGGTGCATGGTTCCGATACGGCTTTTCTGGTAATGCGTCGTTGTGTTCATACAGAGACCCACACGTCTACGAGACTTTGGATTTGTACGACGGGCTCATTGAATATCTCGAAAATTTCAACCTAAGTGAACGTGAAATCGAGACGTATTTGATTGGAATCTTTGCAGACATCGACTCGCCACTGAACCCAAGTGCTTTGTTCGAAACATGTGTCTTTTCTCATATGAATAACACAACAGACAACTTCCCCGAGACCCGAAAACAGATGTTTGAAATCACCTTGGAAAAGTTGAAAGAACAAGCCAAAGTCATCATCGACGGGATTAAAAAGAGCGTTGTGTGTGTCATCGGCTCTGAGGAACAAATAAAGAAGAGGGAGGGAGTATTTAATGAGATTATTCCTGTGTTCAAAACTAACTAAAATAATACTATTGTGTTATTATATATTTTTTTTTGAAATTACTATTAATAATATTATAAAATATCATAAATTTAGTTTAATGATAACGGTAATTAACATTAAAAATCAACAATAAATTAAGTTAAAAATGACTCAATTGTTTTATTTCGAAACAATGGCCGATATAAATTTAATAGTTTTAGAATTTATATCGGAAAATGACTTTTGAGAAATAAACACAAAACACTTTAATTTAACAAGAAAGATAATAATACATTTTTGATAAAAATCTAAATCATTTTATGTTTTAAGGTGATTTGTAAAAAAAGATCCTTTAATAATTAATCAATGGAATCTGTGGGGCAGTGCATAGCACTTTTTCAGCAAGCAATTGACTTGGAAAATATCGGAGCTGTTGACAAAGCAATTGAATTATATGAAACTGGAGTCACTCGTCTTTCTTCTTTGTTAGGAGATGTGAAAGACCAAGCAATGTTAAGTCAATGTATTGACGCTCTTAAAATGTATAAAGACCGCGTCGTCTTTTTAAAAAATGAACAACAAAAGAAACTTCAAACAACGCCTCAAGTGCAAAGTCAAGTCCAATTTCCCGAATTACAGGCACAAGACTTTGTCCAAGTGAAACCGTCTCATGGGGATAACAACAACACTTTTTCCCAACAAAATTCTTATTCGCAGACTTTCCAGCCACAAGCTAACACTTACCAAATTCCTCAAACGTACCAAGTCTCCGATAAAAAGGACTTTAATGGGCAGGTTGACGATGTTTTGTCCCAAGTGTATTCAGATATCGCGCACGAACAAAATGCCCAAGTCCCTTTACAAAACACATACCAAACAGACTTTTCAAAGCCACAAAACACTCCATTTACACAAACAAGGGTACCTCCTCCCGTTCCACTTAAACGTTCTGTCATCGACCAAGACATTGCTATGATGGACGACTACATTTCCTCCACGTCCAAGTCTTCAGACGAAAATTTGACACAAGAGGATCGTGACCGCATATACGCAACAGCTCTCCAAAAAGGCGAGCAAAGCCTTTGGACATCTAAAGATGAACGTAATATGCAAAACGCCATTCGAGACGGTCAAAGGGCCCAGTCGCAGATTCAGAGGGAAGAAGCCAAGTTCAACAAACTCTGCAGTCAGTCGAAAAAAGTGGACAAAGCACTTGGTCTCAAATAAATAACAAATTATTCACTTCTCTATGTGTTCTATTTATATCATTTTCTTGTGCTTATAAAAAATTGAATCTCAAAATTCAAAACAAAATGTCCACAGACAAGTTCGTCGTGCCAAAAGTCGCAATGTATAACCCCGTCGAGCTCAAGAAAATTTTGGACCTTGGCCTCGAGGAGATTTTGAAGACCGACTACAAATTCTCTCTCGACTTTTGGTACTCAAACACTGTCATCGTGTGTAGTTTCATATGTTCCATTCTTGGCGCTTTGGCTTGGTATTACCCAATACCCTGGCCACAAAGTTATTGGCACATCTTCGCCATTATCGTCATATACATCGTGGTCGACGGATACTTGACATACATTATGTGGTACAAACACAAGGGATTCGTGGCACAAACACTCCCAAAGGACAAGAAACCGTCAATGGCGTTTTATTCGGAAATGGCTAAATACTCGCCCTTGTTTGTTATCACAAAAGTCGCTGATGGAAAGAAAAGTGAGGTGAGCTTCGAGGTGAACAAGGTTTTCAACGAGGAGGGGAAGCTCTTGTTCGATTTGTACGGCGCTTACATTCAAAAGTTGGTGAATTGAATTTTACTATTGATTTATAGTTATCTACTCTATTGTTTACTATTAAACAAGTCACGCTCATAAAGTGAAGCAATACGCTGTACTAATTAATAATCGGTTTCTCTTCATCGAGGCTGCTTGAACTGTCAGAATAGTCCAAATCGTTGTGTTGATGTTTGGGTAAGTGCCACGTTGTATTGAAGAACATGTCCCGCTCTTTGATACTTTTGATGCTATTGTACGTCTTGTTCTTCTCTTTCACTCCAACCTCTTCCGCAATGTGTTTTGCGTCTGGAAGAATAGACTTCTTAAAGCTATGGTGTTACCCAATTGATATATTTACAATAATAATATGTATTATATTATTAAATCATAGTAATAGTATTATTGTTGGTATATAATAAGAACAAACTGTTTCCACAAAAGGTCTTTCGCAGTGAGTAAGAATGTAATTAAAATAACAAGTAAGTAGAAGTACGGCGTCTGGAGCATTTCCACGAAGATGTTGTACCACATCCAATCTGTGTAAAGTATTGCTTGTTGTATGAATAAATATAAAATGATAACTAAGAATGTGAAGAGTAAGCTCCCAAAATGGAACCATGTGTAACGCTTGATGATTGTCACTATTTTCAAATTCGTCACCAACAAGATCGAGACAAAAATTGTGAAAGAGAACCCATTCAAATCAATAACTTTCCCATTTGGAAGAACAGAGTTTGTGTACGACGCAACATAAGATATGAAAAATATTCCAATCGACGCAACAAGTCCATCAAGTAACCAGAACAATGCATTTAATGGGGAGTAATATTCTCTGTTTTTATATAACTTTGGGTTGGTGTATAAAACATACGGTGGAATGTCTCTATCTGCAATTCCAAAGATAAAAATCGGTATTGACGTAAATAATATGTTGTAAGAAGTGTAACACGACCGCTCGATAGTATCGATTTGACTACTTTTACAGAATAGATTGTACAAAAATGATGTGGCCACAACAATGAAATTTTTGTATAACGAGTAGAAATACACAACAGAATTTTGGCGATAAAAGTACCTTCCATGCACTAACAACAACTTCACCAAAAATCGAAAAGCCGGTATTGAATAGTCTGCTGTATGCGCCGCTGACATATCTTGTCCCGTCGAAATACCAATACCAATTTTCGCTTTGTTGATCATTGAAACATCATTAAGAGAATCACCTATGGCCAACGAGCAACTCCCCTTGCTTTTATTCACAAAACTCGCCAACTTCTCCTTTTGTTTGGGGGTGCATCGACAGAAGACACACCCACGACTCAACCCCAAGATCTTTGTGAATAATTTACAATTCTCTTCCTCTACGGCACTCTCAAGACTCTCTCCATCCATCACCAAATTGATGTTCACTTTTTTCCTCTTCCACATTTCGTAGTCCTTTTTAAGTTGTTCATTTAACTCCTCTTTCGTTCGTTTGACGATGTTCGAAGTGACCAACCCTCTTTCCAAAATGCCAGAAGAGTATCCAATATCTTTGGATATTTCTCTGTGATCCCCAGTCACCATCCATACTTTAATCCCGGCCTCTTTCAGTTTTAAGACGCTTTCACGAACACCCTCTTGCATTTTGTCTTCAACAGCAGTGACTCCAATCAAAATCAAATCGCGTTCGATGTCGTCTTCGTTCTCTCCATTCTCAAGCCAATTGATGTAATACTCTTTGTCTATTTTCTTTGAACATATGAGTAAGGTACGATAACCCTCTTTGTTGAATTGGTCATTCTGCTCAATCAATTTTCTGCTTATTGCCATCTCTTTAACCCTCTCACTCATCATCTCCTCAGACCCTTTTGAGTACATCGTAATTTCATTGCCATCGTAGATGATGACACTCATTCGTCTCCTTTCGGGTGTGAATGGAAATTGTTTGAGTATTCGATAAGTCTTTTGTTCGTCAAAAATACTGATAGAAACACTCTCTGCAGTCTTCTCAAACAATTCAAACCCACACTCTTTACTCACCGCAACCAATGCAACTTCATCACTCCTTGACGAGAAGTAATTCAAATCCTCTCCTTCTCTTCTTATATCGACAGACTGACATATTGTTAACGTCTTAAAGAATTCCGTTATAACAATTCTCCTCTTCATGTTGTTATTATAATCGTCAATGACTTTTTTGGCGTCAAATTCGACTATATTTGGTGTTATTTCATTTCCTTCCGAACTTGAAAGAGCTTCAGTTTTAGTGGCATCTTTGTGTTCGTCCATATCAGACGAAAGCCCGTCACTTTCATCATCGGGATTTCCATAGATCTTCCCACTAATACTGAACTTTTTCAAAGTCATATGATTCTGTGTCATTGTCCCAGTCTTGTCGGTTAAAATGTAGTTTACTCTTCCCAGTTCTTCGTTCAAACACGAGTTCATCGCAATTGAAGTATCATTTAATGTTGCCATATCTCCATCATGGTTGATGTACCATGTTTGTACAACTCTAACTATTTCCATTGTCACAAACAATGAAATTGGAATGATGTTATTGGACTCAATAACTTCGGAGAAAAACTTCACTGCTCCATTATGGCGTTGAAATTCGATATACCATGGTTGGTTATTTGCATATGGTTTGTATAGAAAAGTGTTTACAAGAGCCATAAGCAAGTTGATAAAGAATAAAGCGATTGAGTAAAAATTGGTCATTTTGATAATATAACTCCACTTCAAATCATGCCTATTCGAGTTTAATTTCTGCTTCGTCTCTTTGCCAATATACGTTGCAAGTACTAAAATAGTACCCGAAGATCTCATTACACACCCACGACATACAAAATTTTCAATTGAAAGTTGTTGTGTTTGTTCATTCAAAACGGCTTTTCCAGAGAAGTCTTCAAAGGGAATAGTAGGGTTGTTGACAAAGATTGAACACTCAACTCTCTTCATTTCATCTTCTTTAATTCCTTGGAGGAACGAAATTCCTTTCTTTGCCTTTAAAAAAGTCTCTCCGTTAATTTGTGAAGTTTCAAATGAGACGTTTGTTTTGTCGAGTATGACACAGTCGCATGGCATCATCTCATTTTCAGAAATTTCTATGATATTCCCTTCTTTAATGCTCTGCCATTCCACCAACCTTGTCCCGTTCTCAGTCAAGATTTTTGCTTTTTTTGAATTTTCAAACACGTCGTCTTTGTATTGTTTCTACGTATTAGTAATTATAATAAATTATTAATAAAATTTACTATTTTGATTAATAAAATGATCAGAAGATTACATTGTTGTAATAAACACTTTTAAATAACAAACTAATTGCTCGAAGAAATCTCTCAATAGTGAAAGTATAATAAGAAAAACTAAAGGCGCACAGACACTCGTCATCGTCTCTCTGCCCCGTTCTAAAGAGGGGATGAAGCACAAAATAGATATAAAAATGAAGTATACAAAAGTAAGACGATAAAAATGCTCAACGATGATTTTGGGAAAAAGTGAGAAAAAGTTGTACTTTTTCGTGGAAATAAAATTCGTTTTTGTGTGTTGCTTCGTTTTGGCCAAAATGGAGACGTGGAGTTCACGTGTGTATGAAAGCTCTTCCAAAATGGAATCGTTTTGTTGAAGCTCAATTTCTTCCATCTCTTTTTCGAGTTGAAAACAATGGAAAAAATAAAAATTTATTTTTATAAAAAACATTTTTGTGGATTTGAATGGAAAAAAAGAAAAAAAATGTTATAATTTTTTAGTTTTTTCATTAAAATATTTAGAGGAATAGTATAAAAAATTAAAAATTAATTAAAACTATAAAAGCTATATTGATTATTATGTCTAATAATAAAGATTATTTTAATATAGAATAATATTTAAATTAAAACTATAGTAAATCGAAAATGAAGTAGGCATTTGGTCTCGTTCTTTATTTTAAAAAAATACCGTAGAGTCACCTTAAATAAGACACACCAAGTGTCATTGATCATTGAAAAGATAGCTTGGGAATAAACAAGCAATCTGTTTATGAATTATTTCTCTCATAATTGAAATTTGAAATTTTTTTTAGTGTCCAAGGAACATTTCCCCTTATGGGATTGTTTTTACTCAGTAAAAAAAGTGGGTGACACAGGGAAGCATTTGTGGTCGTTAAATAGTGGACTTGCTTCAAAAAACCAAGGTAGTAAATATAGGTTTCAAGAATTATAATAAATAATAAGAAAATTAATTAATTTTTTGAGTTTTATAATAAAACTTTTATTATAATTTATAACAATAATAACAATGCTATAATTTATAATACATTAATTTAGTAAGAATTTAAAAAAGTCAACTTTAAAACCAATATATTTTTTAATTAAATATAACTATTATATTTAATTAAATATATTAATATTTTTGTTAAATTTTTTTTTAATAAAATTAAAAATGTGTAGTTTTATGGTTCATTATTTTGATATAACCAATTAATCATTTTTAGATAATGATAATTCTTGTTATTGTTTTGACAATAATTCATTAAAGTTGATATATGATAATTAAAACTTTTGAATTCTAAATAAGTGTTAATTATATATCGGACAGAAACAATAAAAACATAGAAAAATAATTATCAATGCAACCAATATAACATCTTTGTTATTATTTCTGTGTTTAATCTTGTTGAGTCACACGTCAATTCGACAATTAAATGGTTTTGATATATAACTTGGATAAAAAATGAAGTTCATTAATACACCATACAACCACTATGTGCTTAAATAGAGTACAATAAATAGCTTTTTTTATATGTAAAAAACGGGCATTTAGTGAAACGTGAAATAATTGAATCAGTGCAATGGATCTTTTACAATAGTTTCCCTAAATATCCCATTTATTGTGCTCAAAAATTACCAGATAACTTTGAAAGACTGACTGTATACAGAAGATATTAAACAATTAGGCCAGTAAACCATTTTCAAATAATTATATTTAAGAATCGAAGTTACTCTTCTTGTTTAAAAAAGTCTTCATTTTTTATAATTGTGTCTATAGAATAAAATTGCAGTTTGTAAATGGATTTTGTGTTTTTTATTTCCAGTTTTCTATTTATTATTTCTATAATCCGTGTTTTAAATGTAATTTTATGAACCCTTTATACTCCAGCAAATTAAAAGATCTTGTTAATCAACACACTTGTGTATTTTCGTACATTTATTCAGTTTTATTTTAGACAATTCCAAATTACAACTGCCAGCAACTTTTTATTTTGCAGTTAAAACGTGTAAAAAATGATTAAAGTGGTCAAACGCCAGTTTGATTGATACTAGAATGGTTATAAAAAAGAATAATAAAATAAAGAATTTTGATTTTCAATTTTGATTAGGGTTTCTAAAAAAACATGGAATTTTTGATATATTTCTATATATATATTGCGAAATGGTTGTCGGTGGTTCCCGTTTATGTTGGTTTTTGAAAGTCTTTTTTTCATGGCAAGGATTTATTCTTGGTTTAAAAAAATAACCCAAATAATTCGTTTTTTTTACAACTTTATTACTTTTCATTTTCTCTACTAAACATTCTTTGAATCTTTTTCATTGCCACAAAACGGGGGCTTTAGCTTTAGAAACCATGAGTACAAAAAGTATTTATTCTAAAATTACAAATGACTGAATCAAGCAATTTTATGTTTTAATAACCAAAATACCCAAATTTAATTTAAAATACTTTGATATTATTAACATGTTATAAATAAATGCCTATTGATATTTATATTCATTTTGTACCTATTTTAAATGAATGCTAGCGTGAATGATTACCCAATTTCTTAACCAATATTAAAAACGAACCATAATAACCTTTAAACTTTAACAATTCAAAACGCTATTCATGGATTTAAGGATTGCTGTATCAAATAATTCAAATGATTATTTCAACATTACTTTTACTTCTTAGTGTAACTTTTGGAAGTGAATTTATGTGTGCTCCTGGATGCTCAGAGTGCATTGCAGACTATACATGCAAAGAGCAGTGTGCTCCAGAGTATGATAATGACAACACTTGTCTTCATTGTTTATTTACTGACCTTTCCAACTTGTCAAAGCCAATTTTTATACAGAACCAAAATCAATGCATGGAAACAAATAAGAGAATAAAGACAAAGAATGTGCTTCCAGAGGATAAGTACATCACAGATATTTCTTTTGAAACTCCAATTGAATTTGTATTAAACAATGAGAGTCTTGTCGATTTTTCATTCTGTAGAAGTCGACAGAAATTCACATTTGGTAGATGGTTTTCAGTTAACATGTCTCAACTTGAATACGACCAATTGGTTGTTTCAATATACAAACTTGGAGAGTGTGGAAATGATTTGAACGTTGATATAACAAATTCACAAAGGGATTTCACCAACCTTAAGTGTCTCTCCCACTCTTCATTAAATTCTTCATATATAGGAAGAGAAGTAAGAATACCAAAAATCAGCCCGTATATTGAAGAACCAGAAAGAAAATATAAGTACTACATTTATATTTCAGTAACACAATTATGTGATGTGAAATTAAATTTGTCTGTTTCTGGTACTTCTGGTAAAATTCTTGATCCTTTTATTAACATTAATCAGAATATAACAGATAATTTGATTAACAATATTGGAACTCCGATGATTTTGAACTTCCCTTTACAAGCACAAGGATACTTTGGATTTCCTGTTTGCATTCCACATAAGTTATTTAAGTGTCTTGTTTTCTCAATCGAGTATATTGGTAATTATTATCTAGTTTTTGATGGGACAAAGTCAAATAAAATGCAATACATCACAGAATTTTTCATTGAAAAAACTTCTGAAGGTGTTGAAAGTGTAAAGTGTGGGGGTTTATGGAATGGTAATAAAATAGGAATTATGAATGAACACGATAATTTGGGTATTTCTGTAAAATTTGATGATAAAAAAGGTGTCAAAAGAATGTTAACAGTAATAACAGAAGACCAAGACTACGACACCGAAATTGAGATGTACGCAATTTGTCCTGATAATTGTGGAGAATCAGAGGGAAGAGGGAAATGTTCTTGGACAGAAAAAAAATGTATTTGTAGCCCTAAATATGGAGGAGACGATTGTCACCTTCTGTGTTACTACAATAGAGTATGGCAAATTGATAACACTTCTTTGTGTTATTTTGGAGCGCTTGGATGTGATCAATATTGCCATTGTAGAACAGGAATGACACAAAAGAACCACTTTTGTATTTCAGATGAATGTTTGAGTGGAGGAGCTGCTGCAGATGATGAGTGTATAGCGGGGACAGAAGCATGTCTCCAAAACTGCCAATGTTTCGTGAAAGGTGGTTTTGAGCCAACAAGTGAGAAAAAATGTAAAGCTAAAGTGTGTGGAAATGGTATGATTGATAAATTGTATGACTCGAATGATGTCTATATGCGGACTGAGGAATGTGACAATGGAACAAATTGCGACAAATATTGTCGATGTTTTGAAGGATTTAAGACTGATCCAAACAATCCAACTTCTTGTATAAAGGTTACAATAGAAACAGTTGGAATAGTTGGTATTGTGGTGGGAAGTATTGTTGGACTTGTAATAATCATTGGTTTGGTTAGTCTAATCTTGATCTTTGCAATGCGTTATGTAAAGGTGGATTTTAATATTTATAAAACACAACAACCTCTCTATCATTTCTACATTTCTGGATCTTCAAGAACTCCACCAAGTAAGGAAAATAGATACTTTATCGACCCAGTCAATCTCGACTTTGGAAACAAAACAAGTGCAACAAATATCAACGACACCCGTTATGAGAAGATTGAAGTGAAGAATTTCAGTAAAAACAAATATATGATGATTATCTTCCACGTTCCACAATCGCCAAAATACACGTTCTATTTCGATCCTCAAGTGATGATCTTGTCACCCAGAGCAAATAAAATTATCACGTGTTATATGACTCTGTATTGTACAACAAGAATCAGAGACTTAAAAATGCCATATACTGTGTGGTTTAGTTACTCAAAGAAGACACTTTTGGCCACCTCATCTCATTTGAAAAATAAAAATTTTGAACAATGGACAAGTGATGATGAGAAAAAGATGACATCTTTGGTTAAAAACGTGAAGAGGCGGTTGCACAACAATATCACAATTAAAACGATGCTGCCAGTTCGACACATATTGATTTGGATGAATTGAATATGTCCGAATATCCAATTGCTGAAGGAGCCAACGGAAGAGTTTTCATTGGTAACTACAGAAGTGTACCAGTCGCAATCAAGCAGTTCAGGTGGGAAAATTTGGAATTGGATGAAGTAACCGAATTGAAGAAAAATGTTATCCAAGAGTGTGAAATGATGAGCAAATTAAGAAATCCATTCATTGCAAATTACATGGGGTCTGTAACTTACATTCCACAAGTGTCTATGGTGATCCAGTTCTTTGTTCTTGGTTCTTTGGGAGAGTATTTGCGAAAGGAAAAAGAGGACTACGTTGTACTTCCTTACAAGTTAAAAGTGCGAATGTTGTTTGACACTGCAAGAGGGATGGAATTTTTACATGAGAACCGTATCATGCACCTGGACTTAAAGCCAGACAATTTGCTTGTCAACTCGCTTGATCCAAACAGTGCTTGTTCAATCAAGATCACTGATTTTGGTACGTCACGATTCACAAAAAAGTCGATGAAAAAGGGAGAAGAAAAAGGACTTGGAACACCAATTTATGCGGCACCAGAAACAACCCGAGACGAATACACTTTTGCTGGTGATGTCTATTCATATGGAATAACAGCATGGGAATTGTTTTATCAAGAAGAGCCCTTTAAAGACCTCAAGTCGATATTTGAAATCAAAAACCATGTTTACAACGGCAAAAGACTTGAAATAGATCACAGAATGCCAAACGCCTATCAAACTCTTGTTGAGTCTTGTTGGATACAAGACCCACTCACAAGACCAAATTTCGAGACTGTATGTAAGATGGTCATTCAAATCAATGAAGACTGTCCAAATCATATAGATTTAGACAACAATGTCTCTCTTGATAAAATTGAAGGCTTGATTGAAAAAAGAACTACGAAAATGAACAACATGCTTTGTGATGTTGTGAAGGAGTGACTTGGATAATTGTATTTCTTTTAATTCTATGTTACACTCTATTTAATAACATCTCAATGTTATTAACACTAATAAATGAAGAAAAATTGATTATAATGATCAAAGATCAATAGAACAATACCGTTGATATCCACATGAGAGTAAAACAGACTCCCCACTCTCCTCCCAACATAGGTCATCAACATCTGGACATTTTCCATTAACAATTATTCTATTTGTGATTTAATACTAACATGCAAAATACACAAACGGGTCGACATTGAACACCTTCACCATATTCATCTTTTCTTGATAATCAACGTTCCAGAACAACAAATCGCCTCGAGTCCCTCCAACACACAAAATTCGATGTTTCTTGGATGTTGCAAAGACATCAGAACTCTTGAACATTTCTTGCTTGTCTAAGTCAATTGAATTGATTACTGACAATTGTTTCGTTTTAAACGTTTCATTCAAGTCCACACAATGGATCACACTTTTCTCTCTCACAAAGAACCCATTAAAGCACTCAAAAAAGTCGTCAAAGTCAACCCCCATTTCTAATGGAATTGATAAAGATGGCGAATTGAGTCCCTTCGACAAATCAGCAAACACCAAAGTGTATGACGTAAGTTTCTTAACAACATAAATAACGCGATCATTCAATGTCATTAAGAACACTAAGTTGTTTACCATCGTCGTTGTTGTGCTTGTGTTTTCAACTTGTGCTGTATTAACAATATAATAATTATTTGAAGACATGTAGATGTACTTTGTGGTATCCAGCGCACAACATTTGATCACATTCGTGTTTGTAGAACCTTCTATCTTTATTAGAGAACGTTTCTCAATATCAAAAAATCGAAATACATTCCCCTCGTCTGTCTTCATGCAATAGAATAACATCTTCCCGTCTTTCGACAAACAACTCGTCACGAAACTTCCTTTGTCGCAGTACGGAATTTGTGTTGTAAGTTCTTTTCTTGTTCTATTAAGTACAGTAAATCCAAGAATGTCTCTCATAACAATATCACCTTTAAATAACACAAAGCTCGCTACACTGGTTTTTCTTGTGAACTCTTTGAATGGATTGACTGCCGATAAAAACCTTGGAAGTACGATTGGAATACTTGTAGAGTCTTCAAAAGCACTTTGTTGTGTTTCCTGGAGATGCGATTTAGGTATTAAAGTATTGACATACATGATTTCCTTTTTGTCTTTCAATTCGATGATGGCCAACTTCTTTATTTCCGTCTCGTAGAGCAAAACAAGTTTCTTGAGTGCGTTCTGTTCGTCCTTTATTTTTTTATTTGTAATGTTTTGTTGTGTTTGTGTTTTAGTTAATACTGATATAGTTTCTTCTAATTTAGTTGTTTCCGTGCGGTGTTGAGTAATCATCTCTTCCTTTTCAAATTTGTATTTGTCTTCCATCTCCTTTAACGCTGCTTTATGTAATCGTTCCAACTCTATTTTGTCATTGTTCTGTTTTAATATCACTTCGTTTTTGATAGTGACAGTATCCTTCCACTTTTTCATTTCACTGTCACACCTTCGCGATATCTCATTTTCTATGGTTTGATCCTTCTCCGCTAATTTATTTTTGTATGTCGTGATTGTGGCTTGTAGTTCGGAAATCTCCGCGTGAAGCCTTTCAATTTCTTTAATTTGTTCTGATGTATCGATTTCTTGTGGCATAACATTTTCTTGTTGAAGTGTCTGTTGTTCGTTAATGTATTTTTCTTCACTTTCTACTAACTTTTCTTTGACTTGTTTTATTTCCTCTTGAAGGTCTTCAATTTCTTTTGTTTGATTTTCTTTCTGAGTCATTTCTTCGTGTAATTTCTGTTCTATTTCACTCTTCTCTTTCTTTAACATTTCATTTTCTTCTGTGATCTTTTTGTTTTCAAAATTTTTTTCCGCTAATGCAATTTCATGGTGTGAATTTAAGTTCCGTTGCTGGATAAGCAATGAAAGTACTTCTTCCATATCACTATTTTTCAAAGTTCTTCTTTTCTATTGTTTAAATGAACTATAGAATAGTTCAACATCAAATTGTTTTTATCACTTTTTTATTATTTATATAATATTTGATATACTAAAAATTAAATAAAACAGAATAGTGACATTTTGAAAACATTTTCAAAATGATGTTTAGAAAAAAAAAATATTTCAAACACTTTATTTACTTCATTAAAATAATAATTAATTTAATTTTTTATAGTTCATAATTAAATTTAAAATAGTAATAACTATTTTTTTTACTGACTATCTATAACGGACGTTTTCTTATTATATATTATATTATAAATATATAATATTTAAATATAGAAAGAATCTTGACAACTAACACAAAAATATTCTTCTTGTTTCAATTATGATTACAATAATTAAAACTAACTAATGTATACTATAATTACAAATTGTTTTTGATATTTTTTATTACCAATGATTTGAAAGTATAATTAATTAATTTGGTAATTAACTGAAAAGATTTACCGCCTAAAAGAAAAAACTCCGTCATTTTGTGACGGAGTTTATTTATTTTTTAAGAAAACCTAAAACAAGAAGACAATAATATATTCAAACTTATTTAAAAATAAATTTATCTCATAGAGAAAATCAATATAATCCGATACTTACGATGAAAATATCTTAGAATTATAATAAAATAGTAATTACTTACTAGTAAAAAAATAATAATCGGTTGAAAGAAAAAAGAGTCTTTTTACTATCTAGTGGAATGAACGAAAAAAAGACGAACTCCCAAATGCATTTGGCTGATGAGTGTCGTGAAGGCCAAAAGTAACAAAACAAAGCGGATGAAATTTTTAGTCTTTGGAAGGTTATTTGAACCACGCATCGCTGACACACCCGAAAATACAATGCAGACAACAACACCACGGATCACACACAACGACCCTTCCACACCTCTTTCAACACCAGACGTGTCGCAAATACCACAAGGAAATACGTTTCATGAAATACCTTATATTTTGGAATACGCATTCAAATACAACGAAACGATTCTCGAAACATCGCAACAACCGGATAAACCACTTTCCCTTTTCAATACCGAGGAAACAGTGAATTGGCTTAAAACATTTGCATCTGAAAGTGTATGGAAAAGGGTACAAAAGAAGAAACTGTGTGGAAATGAATTACTCTCGTGGGCACGCATTAAACTAGCGAAGTGTTGCGAGTCGAAAGAAGTCGCGAAAAATATCATCAAAAAAATAAAGGCATACGACAACACTTCTTCCTTCGGGCGTTTGTTCTTTTATCACATTTTATAGAACTTTTTCAACTGTCTATTACGACCAATTAACTGGTTTTTGGTCGAATGACCGTTTGTATTAATAGCACATTTCATTGCTATTAAGTAACACATGAAATACTCACTGCAAGTTGTTGCACTTGAGAAGTGGAACTTCACGGATGAACAATTAAGAGATATGTATGAGTTGGAGAAAGGATTTACGGATCAAACTGTCGTGCAAATGAAAAAGTATGATGTTCACCACGCGATCAAAGTCACATTCATGGCGATATCTATTTACTTTGCACAACGGGACCCTATCTTTACTGAGGGAGATATAAAAATAATAAAAGAGAGGAATGGGGAGGACGCGTTGGATCGACTGGACTTGACACGAGAGAACAAGTGCTTGGTCAAGCGAATGTTTTTATTTTTGAAGAGGATGCTCCACTCAAACAACTCTGTATTTCAGTATTTCAAGACCAATTTGGAGGAGTTTGTGATCTCGTGCTTGGCACCAAATCTTCCTATTGAGCCATTCAAAGAGATATACAATTCGATCACAGAGGAAGAACTGTCGCCTTATTATTTTGAATCGGAAAACATTTATGCTGGAGAGGTGGTGCTTCAGACCTATATGGATATCATATCACCAACATATTTGATACCAATTTTAGAACGAGTTGAAACTATTGAAGAGTCACGGTGGGATGTTGGTGTGTTGTATGTCACGAATTATAGAATACTGTGGAGGAGTACAACAAAAGAAGATAAAGAGGAAAGAAGCAACTTTGAAATGTTGTATCATGTACCAATAGCAATGATAATAAACCCAACAAGCGGAATTAAACACACGTTATGCATGAGAGGCGATGAAGAGTATTATTTGGTTCGAATACTTGCGACAAGCGCACATACACTTACATTTGGATTTAGGTCAGAAGATATGGTCAAGTCATTTCTTGGTTCTATAGACGAAGTACAGAAGAAAAATGTACTAATTGATAAATATGACATTTTCATCGATTACTGTCCACTACAAAGTGTTGCGGAGAGAATGTTTGAGAGACTTAAAAACAAGGACGGGCTTGTGGTGAACGACTTGAGTGACCCCAAAGGGATGAAAGAGTGTGGTATTGTTATGAAAGACTTTAACATCAATTACCACCAAGACGAACTTTTTGAGAAATCGGAGAATTTTGAAAATTTTGAGAAAATGCTGAAAATAGAGAAGAACGGGAAAGTTGAGAAGCTCGAAAAAAACGGATATGGAGTGATATTAGTCGGGGAGAGTGACAAAAATGGGAGAGTATATCGGCTACAAGTCACCGGCGATTTCAAGTGGTTTGACCGGAAGTATTTTGAGAGGAAAAATATCAACATAGTTGACTTTGAGTGTTCAACTGATGAAATTACAACTGCGAGAATTGAGAAGTTATATGAAGACGTGAGGGGATATAAAACAGGGATGGAAGAAACGCTTTTCACTTTCACTGAATTAGTGAATCAAGAATTAAAAAAGGTGTTTGCATGCTTTTATGATATCATTAAGAGATACACGTATGGAAGCACTTTTCTATTTCTATCGAACACATATGACAACGTCTATGTATGCTTCGTCAGCTGTTTATTTCTCGTGTTGACAGACAAATACTATCGAAGCTTTGATGGGTTTATCGAACTCTTACACGTCCACGTCTTCGCTTCACACGCTTTGAGAACAATGCTTAACGCAAAGAGGTGTATTTACCCATTATTTCTTTTTCTCCACGGAATGGAATGTTTGCTCCAGTCGTACCCATCAATGTTCCAATTCAAAAATGAACTTTTGTACTTTTTAATGTACCACACCCTCTCAAAACGATTTTCAACGATGTCGACGGATGAAAACCCATCACAATCACTGTACTGCTTTTTACTCCCAAGGAAACGAATATTCATTAACAAAGATTTCGAAAACTTCGATTTCAATTTCATCGACTATTTCAAAACATCACTGGTACTATTGGAACACAGCTTTTTTGTCCACTTCACTAACTACACAATAGACAAGAGGCCACTATTTAATAAAGCGTTGTACCAAAGACAGGCAGTCGACTTCTCACGACTGAATTTGATAATTTTACCGCGATACTTCTTTAACTGCCTCGATAATGTGCAAACACGACGACTGACTTTATCGGAAACGTACTTGAAATTCATTCCAACACAAATTGCACTTCTTCCAAACTTGGAATCCCTCGTTTTCGCTTCAAACGATTTGCAATTCATTCCACAATGGCATTTAAATCACATGACTGCATTAACATATTTGGACATCTCCGAAAACAAACAAATGTCGTCTCGATATGAAATGATTCGCTTCGACTTGTTGACCAATTTAAAGATGTTGAACATCACAAATAGACAAGTTAACGTGGAAACTGCATTTCCGGACTCAATCAACACGATCATCGCAAGAAACAGCTTCCAGGCGATGCCGAAAATGATCTATTCCCTTCCAAATTTGGTGTCACTTGATCTGAGCTCAAACGTTTCTCTTTGTTCGTCGTCGATATTTACAGTGACTCGTCTCAACGCACTTACCATTTCTCATTGCAACAAAACTGATATTCCAAACTCGATTGGACAGATGACGAATCTGACTGAACTCAATATTTCCGAAAATCACATTTCAAAGCTTCCCTTTTCACTTTATTCGTTGGTTAAACTTGTCAAACTGGATATTTCAAGCAATGACGTTCGTTTCATTTCATCACTCCTCTCTAAATTGACAAATTTGACGTGTCTGATGCTCCAGAAAAACCCAAATGGCGAGCAAAACCAAACCTGCATCAACGACTTACTCAAAAAACTCATTGTACAACACTACCCTTACGAAATCCAATTGCACATTTTGTCGGATAAATACGGTACTGACGAATTCAGACGCATCTACGACGAGACTAAAAAGCCGAAATCGGACTCGTACAGACTTGTAGAGCAAGGGGTGATTGCGGGAGATGCGCCAAAAGATCAACTCCTCTTTCGAGTGTCATACCACGAGTACGAAAGTCGGTTCGGATTTTTTACGCCGAATGGTGACTGCTATCTGTTGGTGTTGTTCAGAGACAACTGGAATCTCGTTTTGGAACAATGGAAATACCATTTACTCCACACTGCGTTTACAAACAAAAACAACACGGGAGACCTCAAATTGCAATTCGTGTTGTTTTGGGACGATAAGAAATCGACTGAGGCTGAGGATCGGGTGAAGGAAATAAAGAAGCGAATGGAGCCATTTTTTTGCTTGGGAACCGTCGCGTACTTGAAAGAAAAAAAGAAAAACGATTTGCGACAGAAGGTCAGAAAGATATTTGAGGCGTACACGCAATCGGTGTATGCGGACAGTTTCATGAAGATCATGATGGAAGTCAAAATGTCGTCGTTCAACCCACCAGTACTTAAACAAGGACTGTTATTTAAAATGCTCCACGACTTTGAAATCGACGATTTTAATACTCTTTTGAACTTGTTGCATCGGTATGGAGTTGTCCTGTCAGTCACACAAAGTCTAGAAGGACTCAAAATGAATGACCAAATTCTCCACAAGAAAGGAACGTTTGTACCAAACAGTGATGCATCGGCGAATATGGTAGTTGCTGACCCGGATTTTATTCGAAAGATATATGAAATGCTGATGGACTCTTCGAAGGATGGATTTGGGTTTTTGGAAGACATTAGTACGAAATTGTCCGACTACTTTCTCAACTTGGAAGTATTGAATGGTGTCATGCTGTACGTTGAAATGTTCTACGACGTGTTCATTGCAAGAGACGATTTACTGAACGCTTTTGGGTTACAAGAAAAATACCTGCAATTTGCAAAAACAAAGATCAGTTCAAGAACCGACTTCTTTGACGTCTTACAAAATGATCGAAGGGACAAGAACTATATGCAGCGGTGTGCTTCGACGATGCTTGAGAACCCTTTCTATTTTTGGGAATCGGGAGGGTGCACTGTTGCTAATTGTAAAACCCCGTCAGCAGCAATGACAAAACACAACTCAAAGACACTCTACTTTCAACCAAGAAACATCAAACCGTTACTTAAAGAGCAAATTGAGAAAGTTTGGCCAAGCCAACACGACGTGAAAGAAATGGATTTTGGAAGAAAAATTAACGCAAAATTCTTTCCACCACTGTTCTATTCGACTTTTGTGTTTTACGCGTCCGTTGAAGGAATGAACATAGTGAAAGTGACCAAGAATCAGTGCTTCTTATCAAAAGTGGTTGAAGACCAGCATTATTATTTTTATATATTATACAGCGACACTGAGTTTATCATACGAACGCGATACAGAGCAACAACAGTGAAGTCTGTGTTCATTGGAGGGAAATTGATGGGGGAGTTAACTGACATATTTGCAAATATTCAGAAGGTCCTATTTCCAAATTTGAAGTCGGAGGAGTTCATTTTATGCCCGAAGTGTTTGATATGTGGCAACGACGAATTAAGCTGTGTTTTGCCAAAGAGGACTTTGATCAACGCGATCGAGAAGAACCAGGACAAAGTATGTTTTGAGAAGGGTCACGAGTGCCTTGTATCAACTTGTGCACTCGATTTGGTACTTTCTGAGATCAAAAATTCGAAGCGCATGCAAATTGACATCATTGACTTGGAGAGTGATTTGGACTCAGCAACGCAAGACAAAGTTCTTGGCCTTGGAAGTACGGCAAAGGTCTTTTTAACAAAAGTGAAGAACCAAAATGTAGCAGTCAAACTCTTTTCGTTGGACCCCTCATCGTTTTCAACGGTGAGAGGAGAGGGGTGTGCGGCGCATTCAGTTTCGAAGGGAATAGTTGAAATGAGGAGGGAAGTCAACGTAATGAAAATGATGACCTCTCCGTATATATTAGGGTTGACCGGCATATCCTTTGAGCCGCTTGCGTTGATCATGGACTATTGTGACCTAGGAAATTTGTACGACTTTCTGGCGAATCCAAAGAATGAAGTCACGTGGGAAGACCGTGTTGAATTTGCTTACGAAGTGGCGAGTGGGATGACCGAGCTCCATGCCGCAAAACTGATTCACCGAGACTTGAAAAGTCCAAATATATTACTGAAGACAGAAGGCGGGAGAGTGAAGTGTTTGATATCCGATTTTGGTACATCTGGAGTGCAGTTGTTTGAGGAGAATGTATTTGTTGATAACCCGAAATGGGTTGCACCTGAGGTGATGCGAGGGTTTCCGTTTGAGATGAAGTCCGATGTATATAGCTTTGGTATTATCATGTGGGAACTAGTTGAGCGGAAAGAACCGTTTGGAGACGCTCGATTTCCGTCACAACTTAAACAACTCATCATTAAGGGACTCCGTCCAAGTTGGTCCGAAGAGAAACACATTCATCCGGAGTATTTCGCCCTTGTCGAGTCATGTTGGGCTGACGAGACATCGAAACGACCTCCGTTTGAGGAGGCGACGAAGACTTTACAAAAACTGAAGAGTGAGGTGGCGAAGGATCTACTACCCATTCAGTAATCCTCTGTTTTAATTGTATTGTTTTATTTTTGTTGAGTTATTCGACAGTACTTCGTGTGCATGAAAGGACAAATAATAAACACTAATTATGAATTGCTCTAGACCTGCGACGTTTGGTTTTCATCGGGCTCAATCGACATTTCCACCTCGGAGGGGAAACGACTTTTAGTGATGAGAAGAGACAAGTTCTTGGGAATCGCAGGAGTGCAACTTTCTAGCAACTCCTTAACTTCAGAACTCCCTTCCACGGGTATATTGCGGCACTGCCCGTAGTTATTCAACCCTTTTACGTTTTCCATTTCTTGCGCAAGGTGGTACAAAGATGGGAAGAACCGACGTTGAATGAATTTCCTGAGAATGAGCGGGGTGACAGATAACATCACAACAAGAAGACACACCAAGTAAAAGTCGAACGACCGGAAGACAAGGTAATACCCGTGCCATGAGATGTTGTATGTGGAGTATCCAGGAATGTAGCACGTCAGGGTGTATATTACAATTATACAAATCAAAGAAACGACGTGGCCAGCGAATAAAATGCCGTTCCATGTTTTTGTTTCGATGATAATAGTGACAATTACAGTGAGTAAGGAGTAAATTGTGATACTTAGAGATGTGTATATCATGCCTCCGTTAATGCCATTTGGCCCATTAACATCCGTTGGAAGAATAATCCAGTAAAACACCAAGAAGAAAATAAGCGATTGATACGCACCATAGAACCACCACAAAACAAAGTTCCAGACACTCCCTCTATGCCCATCAATAAGGTCTCGGTTAATTTCAGGAAACACCCTAATTGTTTGCCACGTCAGGTCTCTGTCGAAAACTCCGATCAAAATCGGCTGAATTTGTGTGAATAAAATGTTGAAAAAAGTCATGACGTAATCATCATACACCACTTGCGCGGTGCAATTGGACAAAAACGAATATGAGAGCATGATCAGGAAGAACGCCGCATTCTTGAAAAAGCACAACTTGATGAGTTCGGAATTTCTGAGAAGCGAACACCTTCCGTGGAACAAGATGAGTTTGCCTAAATGTCTAAATTTCCGAATTGCAAAATCTGACGCACGTGCGGCTTGTGTTCCCTCTTTGCCATAAATCCCCACCCCAACACTTCCAGTGTTTATCATCGGAACATCATTAGCACCATCGCCTATTGTTAACACGACTTCTCCTGTCATTTTCTTTACACATTTTGTGATTTCCGCCTTTTCTTTTGGCGTGACACGGCAACAAACAACCGAGTCGACTAATTTAACCAACTTTTTGAATTTGTTGCGATACGTCGTAAGACACCAATCGTTGTTTTTCTCTGTAATCACAAGTGTGCAGTTTTCACCCGAATCTGCATCGATTGCCCCAAGTATTTCGTCCAACTTTTTGGAACACTCTTCCGCCGTTTGTTCGGCGATTGTAAAGTATTTACCGGTGATCAATTTGCAAGACTTGCCAATGTTGATTGCCTTTTTGTTATTATTATTTTTAATTTATACTCAAAATGAGTCAATTCAAAATGGCAAAACAAACAGTCTCCATCTTGTCACCAGTAATCATGAATATTTTAATTCCAGCACGAATTAACATGTCGATGGTCTCACAAACACCGTCCTGAAGTTTGTCTTCGATTGCGCTCACCCCGACAATTTCGAGTTTGCATTCCATCTCGTTTTGGAGTTGATTGATGGCGTCGTCTCTTCCTTCCAAAATGTTTGTGGCATCATCGTACCTTTCGTACCACGGAGCAAACTCGGAGTCTGAAACAACTCGTTTGGCCAACACCAAAGTTCTTAACCCACACTCGCTGAACTTCACAATTTGGGAAAGGCTTGACTTGTCTCCTTCACAAAGTTGATCCATCACATTGTCCGCTCCTTTTGTCCACAATTCAATTGTTCCATCATCTTTACGAACCAGTGTACTCATTCTTTTTCTATCCGAGTTGAATTCGAAAACAGCGAGAATTGAATATATATGTAATGTGCCAAACACATTCAAAGTGACCGTCTTTTGGTTTCGAGAAACCAATTCAATGCCAAAGTCCTTTGCAGCTTTACACAACGCCTCTTCGTCTGGGCTTTGCGCCGAATATGTACCATTGTTTACAGAGACGGTGTTGCATATGGCCATGCACGTGATAAATGAAACTACTTTTTCACATTGTTCTGATGTGAAATCTGTTTTGGGGAGGGAAGAAACTTTCAACGTCTCAACCACCAATGTTCCATTGTCGGATTCTTCAGCGTTTTCTTCAGAACATTCCGAACCAACACTTTCAGTCTCCACTTGCCGAACAACTACTGACTCGGCTGGACAGTACGCGTACCCTTTACTCCGAAGCAGTTCAATCAAATCTTTGTATCCATATGACCCCTTTCCAACGCTGCACGCTTTGAATTTCATTATGTTTTCGGTCAACGTTCCAGTTTTATCAGACAACACATACCTGACCATCCCAAGTTCATCGTTCAAGTTTGTTGACTTTGCGTTCATTCCAAGGACCTGTTCTTCTCCCTCCGGACTAATTGTTCTTATTTTCATATCATCGTCGTGCTCGATAAAAAGTCCCTGCAAGAATTTACAAAGTTCGAGGGAGACTTGGCATGAAATTGGAATGATGTACGAAATGAGTGTAAAGTACCCAAAGAACTTTTTAAAGCCATAATAAAAAGGAGACTCCGAGTCTTTGGGAAGGTACCAAAACCCGTTCTGTGCATCGTTTAACGTTGAGTGCCGAAACCCCGCAACAAGTGCTAGTACCAAACAAATCACAGTCTGAACGACAATCATCACAAATACAAAAATGTTGAATTTTTTGTCGATTCTTGATTTCTTGACCTGTGGCGGCGTTTGGTTCAACGACAACTTTGTGTGTTCTCCGCAATAGCACACAACAGCGTACACAATTTCCGTGTTTTTGATTTTTGTTCCTTGAATCAACAAATTCTTTTCGTTGATTGAAATTTTGTTCTCTCCAATTGAGAGCGATGCCTTGAATTGGTCAAAGCGTGGTTGTGGGTACTCGCAAATCAAGTCACCCGAATTAGAAAAGGTCTTTTCGATTGGAGTTCCAATAAAATAGCCAGGTACTAGGATCTGCTTTAAGTTTGTTTCACCATCAATCGCTGCTGTTTCAACATACACAATGCCCTCTTCATTTGACGAAAACAATGGGATGCAGTCCGCTGGTACAATTTCGTTGTGCCTCAACTTGATGAACATGCCTGTTTTGATGTCACTTGATGTCACATCGACATCTCCATCGGGGGTATGTTTAACAAATTTTGATTGATTAAATTTCCGATCCGCAAGTCTTCTCCTCTATTTGTAAATTATTATTACTAATTTAGAAGTTTTATTAAAAGTAATAATTCTACCACACAACATTTTGAAATGTTTAGTGACAGGCAAGAATATCAAAAAAGCATTCAAATAACAAACCGAGTCTTCGTAGATTTCTTTCACGGCAGCGACAAGCAACACAAATATTAAAGGCACAATAGATGTTATTGGCGTGACTGTTGAGATGGAAGGAATACAACAGATAATCATGATAGCAAGGAAATAAAGGTTAGTGACCATAGTGAATTGTTGATACAAAAATTTGAGTGGGAACGACAGTAGAGTGTACTTTGTTGTTCTCATCACATTGTTCGGGAAGTGTTTTTTCTTGTTCACGGCGTCGTCGAAGAGACGGATCGGCTGGTAAGACTCTCTTGGTCGAGTCTTGAAGAGTCTAATCCTTCTCACCATTATCTATATTAATAGTTTTGATGATGTTATTCATTCGGTCGACTCCACCAAAAAGAAACTTTTCGTTTTTGCCTTTCAAAAAGTCCAACAAATCAGTTTCTGGGCTATTTTGCTCTGGCTTGTTGGGGTTCACATTTCTTTTATTAAAGCTGCACTTCTGCAAAATAATTATAATATTGAAAAGTAGTAATAAATATGGTTTCAATTATAGTTTCGACCCATTGAATCGTAAGTACAATAGGACATCTAACGCAATAAAAGAGGAATGTGACGACAAAAGAACATTTGACTCTCATTTCTATTTTCTATAAAAAAAAAGAATAAAAGAGGCAAAACTCCCCTCTTTTAATAACCAATGTCGGAATATTATTACCATATTGGCAAATTATAACGCTTTTTATCCCTAAAACAACGGGAAACCAAAACTATTGTTTTTTGTTTTTCAAATTGTTTTTTAAGAGGTGTCAACAAGATATTGTTCTCAATATAAAAAACACTCAATTTGACGGGAAAAACAACAGAAATTTAATTATAGAATGTCAAAAATAAGAACTTTTTTAAACAAAAATTGGTTTTGATTATTGTTAAAAATAAACCGTTATTTGGTAATGATCTCGGAAGATAACCTGTAAACAACAGGATAGAAACAACACTATGATAAAAAAACCCTGAAATAATCTTAAAATGGAACATTTCTTTTCTTTTTTTTCAAAAACGAAAAAAGAAACTCAAATTTTTATATTATTTTTTGTTTTATTTTATTATTAGAATTTAAAACTCATTAGCAACTCACTAAAATATTGAAACACTAGGCTTCGCACCCGAGAATTTTCTTATTAAAAATTAGTATCTAAAAAAGCTAATAAAACGGGAAAGAAAAATTGACCCGTTTTATTAGAGTTTTTCGATACTAATTTTTGATAAGAAAATTCTCGGGTGCGAAGCCTAGTGTTTCAATATTTTGGTGAGTTGCTAATGAGTTTTAAATTCTAAT